TATATATATATATATATATATATATATATATATATTATCCCACCTAATTCTATCATTATTATAGAAAGTCAGCTCAATATCATAATACCATTATAATGAAAGACTGAAATCAAATTATGGCTAATCAAATCTTATTGTGGGCATTCTTAAAAACTTTACAATTATCATGAAAATGTTATATTGTTTTAAATTTATCAACACTAGTCAACAGTCTTCTTGGTCTTAATTGCATATATAAATATTTAATATAGATATCTTTCCAGTTTCAGATCTGAATATCTAAACACATTAAAATAATTTTTATGATATAGTATTATGTGGCCTCATATGGTATATATGGATTTGGAAAAGATGAAAATTCAAGGAAAAAAAAGGAAAAAAAATTTGAGTGTAGTGCAATTTCTGTGGTTTAGTATATAAAAGTTTAATTGGTTTGGTACTAAAAGAAATAGGAAGAAATATTTTTGAATATGAAAGAATTAAGGAGAATAATCAAATTAATATTTGTTGGTTTAGAATATTAATATACAATTATACTTTTGTTTTTTTTGGGGTTGAACATTTTCTGATTTATAAAGAACATAATAAACGCAAAAGAATGTTGCAGACAAGACATAGAATCATAGATTATAGTCCCAAGAACCCATAGATTCTTCGATCTTTCTCGTCCTGTCCGAATCGGGCATCCTCAATCTCTTTCTCAAATTCCCAAAGCTATCACCTTGGATCGAAGAAAACAAAACCCTGGCTCTCTCTATGCGTTGTTCTGCTTTCTCCTTTTCTTGTGCAGAGCTATCAACATCTATTTGATTGAAAGCTAAGTCTCAATCTTCGAACGGGGAGAAACAAAAGTGTGTATGTGAAGACAAATCCCCAAACAAGGAAAAAAATGACCCACGTATTGTTCCTTAAAGACCCAGCAAACACATAATCCGTGGTTTCTTTCTCTTGCCATTTTCCTTTTGTTCTGCAGTGATTTTGGTTTGTTATTGTTTTCCTGCAATGTTGTCCGAGTTTGGTGGTGGTCATCATTTCTAGGGTTGTGGGTTTCTTCTTCTTCTTCTTCTTTTTAATCGAACCTCATGGCGCTGTTCAGAAAGTTTTTCTACCGGAAGCCTCCTGATGGGTTGTTGGAGATTTCAGAGAGGGTTTATGGTACACGCTCTTACTCAATGTTTTAAATGGCTTGTTCTGCTCAAACTCTGCAATTCAATGTTGGGAAAGTTTCATCCTTTTAGGCTGAAAAGTTATGGTTTTTAGGTTTAGCTTTCTCATTCTCGCGAGCATCGAAGAGAATGCTTGGTATCCTTCTATCGTTTCTTTTAATAGATGTGCAAGTTCTGGGTTTTTTTTAAGGTTTGATGAATAGTGGTTCTACTTATTTTAACAATGCTTGAATCTGCAGTGCAGTGCTGTGCTTAAATTTGGCTTTGAATCTTTCTCCGTCTCATTGTTTGATTTGTTGTAATTTTAAATAAAGATGTGAGCTTTCAGTTTCCAATGAAATTCTTCTCTAATAGTGAATCCAAATCGTCAGCTTACTGTTAACTGAAACATTTTCTGCATTTTCATGGATTAATGTCCAAGTTAATCAATGGACAATGAGTTTCAAGATTCTGATCAGATTGACCTCTAACCTTTGATATTTTGATATATCCAGCTTTTGATTGCTGCTTAAGCTCAGACATGTTGGAAGACGACGAGTTTGGGGTCTATGTGGGACGCATAATCTGTCAGCTACGAGAACAGTTTCATGATACTTCATTCATGGTGTTTAATTTCCGTGAAGGAGAAAAGCAAAGCCAGATTGGGAGAATGCTATCCGAGTATGATATGACAGTCATGGACTATCCTCGTCATTATGAAGGTTGCCCTTTGCTGACAATGGAAACCATCCATCACTTTCTGAGATCTAGTGAAAATTGGTTATCGGTAAGTAAACAGAATATCTTACTGATGCACTGTGAGCGAGGTGGGTGGCCAGTTCTGGCTTTTATGCTTGCTTCTCTCTCGTTATACCGCAAACAGATTAGTGGAGAACAGAAAACACTAGACATGATCTATAAGCAGGACCCTCGCGAGTTATTACAGTTGATGTCCCCTATAAATCCTCTGCCTTCACAATTGAGATATCTTCGGTATGTTTCAAGAAGGAATGCCGGGTCACAATGGCCTCCTCTAGACCGTGCTCTTACACTAGATTGTGTCATCCTTAGAGCGATTCCTGATTTTGATGGTGAGGGTGGTTGTCGACCCATATTCAGGATATACGGTCAAGACCCTTTTATGCCTGCAGATCAAACATCAAAGGTTCTTTTCTCGATGCCCAAACGAAGCAAAGCTGTTCGCCATTACAAGCAGGTAATTTTTAGCATTCTTAGCTCTCTGTGCTCTTTCACTTCTCTTTCCATATTTGAACAGTTCACTCAATGTCATTGCAGTTTCATCCTGTAATTTTTTTCAGTTGACCATCTTTCTTGTTTTGTTTATTTGGCATGGGGGTGTTAAAGAGATTGTGAATCTGAACTTCTTCAAGATAATCCAAACTTTTCATATACTACTGCAGGCAGATTGTGGGCAGGTAAAGATTGACATCAACTGCCATATTCAAGGTGATGTGGTGCTTGAGTGCATTAACTTGGATAGTGAACATAAGAGAGAAGAGATGATGTTTCGGGCTATGTTCAATACAGCCTTTCTCAAATCAAACATTCTAATGCTCAACCGTGATGACATTGATGTTTCGTGGAGCTCAATGGATCGATTTCCCAAGGTTTTCAGAGCTGAGGTAACTATTTCTCTTGCTTTTTCTTGGATAAGTAAAAGACATTTTGTTTCCCAATCAAAATATTCATGATTTTATCCTGAATCTTTTACACATAAATTCTAGAGAACTCAAATCGAGAGTAATCTTTCTGTATAAGCAATACAAAGATAATCATCGTTCCCAGCCAAGAAAATAGTAACATTGTTTGCTTTTGTTAAGGTTATATTTTCAGAGATGGATGTTGGTGGCAATCTTGTTTCTGTTGGTATGCCGCTTATGGAGGAAAAAGATGGCTTACCCATGGAAGCATTTGCCAAAGTTCAAGAAATATTCAGTGGCATTGAATGGTTGGATCCAAAATCTGATGTTGCAGTGAATGTCTTTCACCAAATAACAGCAGCAAACATTCTTCAAGAGAGCTTGGAATCAGGTTCTCCTCAAAGCCCATCACGAAGTTTATTGGAATCAGCTCTTGAGAAAGTTAAAGAGAAAACCAAGTTGATGATAGCGGAAAACGGGGCTGGAACTCCTAATTCTGTCTCTGCTCAGGAGAAAGAAAACAACAATGTCGCTTGGGACAAGCCTTGCACAGATCCAAGTTCACCGCTTAAGAAGGTTGAACCTCATGGACTTCGGGTTTCAGTCCATAGAACAGCTCACTCTAAGATAATCTCCCCTTGGGTTGTCCTAAGTCCAGTATCTTCACCAGTTTCAAGTCGTAATCCCAAACAAGGATCACCTGTATCTATATCCAGATATCACAGTTCCCCATCTATCATTGGCATTACTTCTTTATTGCATGATCATGATGAATCTGAAGGTAAAGAGTCTACTTCATCATCCCCAGCTTCTAAGGGGACTTCACCAATAAACCGACTGTCCAAGTTTAATAGTTTCCCTTTTCGAACTATAGGGTCATACCCTGTTCCTGTTCCTCCTGCACCATCACAGCAACATTCTCAGCCACTGCCTTCTCCTCCACCGCCTTCACCACTGCCCAGAACAACCTCTTCTCCGCCGTCTCCAGCAGCAGTAGTGCCACTACCAGTACCACCTAGGGTTTCTCCTCTGTCCTCTCTGTATTCCTCCTCTGCATCAGATTCTACCTGCAGTTCCACAGCGGCACCAGGGCCACCACCACCACCGCCACCACTACCTTTGAAGAACTTAACAAATACATCTGCCCCTCCACCCCCACCTCCACCTCCACCGCTGCTGCCTCTTTTGCATTCCAGACATCCTACTAGAAGTCAGTCTTCATTATTACCTGCGCCACCTCCACCTCCACCATATCTTCTAACACATTCAGTAACCACAACAAGCCCTCCACCCCCACCGCCACCACCTTTGCGTTCTGGTTCTGTATCAGGAACTGTATCATCCATAAATAATCCAGCAGTGACATCCCCGCCCGTGCCTCCTCCGCCAGCACCTGTACGTTTTTCTCAGTCTCATAATGGGGATTGTGACAGAAAAATTCCTCCAGTTCCTGGACCGCCATTTGGTTTGAAAGGACGTGGGCTTTCACGGACCAATCCTAGAGGTCAGTGTCAAACGAAAAAGACCAACTTGAAACCCTATCATTGGTTGAAGCTTACTAGGGTAGTGCAAGGAAGCTTATGGGCTGAGGCACAGAAATTTGGTGAAACTGCTAAGTATGTTTGTATTTATTAGTTTTATCCATTTTTCAAGATTGTGATATTTTTTCCTTATGTGAACTCTGTCATCATCTGATTGTGTATTTTCATATTTAGGGCTCCAGAGTTTGACATCTCAGAGCTTGAGAAACTCTTCTCCGCATCTGCTCCTAACTCGGACAGTTGCAGTAAAGGTGGGATATTGGGTCGGAGCCCTTCAGGACGCAAATCTGAGAAAGTGCAGCTGGTAATTGATTAGCCTTTTGATATGAAATGAGAATTCCATGTTTTAAAATATCCTAAATCTTTTTTGCGAGTTTGAAGCGGCATGAAATGAGGATCCTTTGACATATTTCTTAGAATTTAGCAGACAGTCTTTCTATTTCATTATCTCATTTTCCTATTAGCTTTGCAGATTGAACTGAGACGGGCATATAACTGTGAGATCATGCTTTCCAAAGTTAAAATTCCTTTACCGGATTTGATGGTAAGCTCTAATAACCCCCTTGCAAATTCTTGCTTGACATGTTTCCTCTAAAATAAGTACTTGACCAGAGAGCTTGGTCTTCAGCGCTTTTTCTTAGTTGCTACAGCAAAATTCTAGTTTTCCTCACTGTCTGAAGCAAGAACTGTTTGAACAATATGTTTATTTGAATTTCCTTGTCTTACAGAGTTCCATTCTTGCACTGGACGAGTTGGTGTTAGATGTTGATCAAGTTGACAATCTAATCAAGTTTTGTCCAACAAAAGAAGAAATTGAATTGCTCAAGGTATTTGCTACTGTGCCCAATGGTTCTCATCCAAACCTTTCCAGTTTCTAGCTGTGATTTATGCTCTGTACCATGGAAGTAAGAATTTACCATCCTTTGAAAATACCATATATATGCTTCTTGAACTTTTTGTGACGGACAATGATGCTAAATCCTTCATTCCTCCTAAATGTAATGTTTCTGCTTGTCTTCTGCAGGGCTACACTGGGGATAAAGAGAATCTGGGACGATGTGAGCAGGTTGGTTTGGTGTTCTGTCCGTTTTTAGTTATGAACCATCTTCTGAACGTGCCTTTTAACATTTTCAGGATCTTTATTGTCTTTCATATTGGCTGACAAGCCTTCATTCCATTTAAGCACATAATACATGGACCTAAGATTAATTATATACGCTTTTCAAATGGATAGAATTCTATTCTTTAAGTTATTGATGGTCTAGTAGAATCTTGCTCAATGATCATTGCCATTTCCCCTTTCATAGTGGCTGACAAGCCCTCATGAGAAAATCACTTTCATCTATCAAATTCATACTGATAGCTACTTTCTGACCTTTTCTGATAGTTCTTTTTGGAATTACTGAAAGTTCCACGGGTGGAATCAAAGCTAAGGGTACTATCATTCAAGATAGAGTTCCGCTCCCAGGTATGCGTATCAACTGGATTTTTGTATCTTCCAAATGTCGTCTTCTGTTCTCCTGTAGAATTTGGTTCTTACTTGCGTATATGGTTTTTTCCTTCTTATAGGTTTCTGACCTTAAAACAAGTTTGAATGTTATAAATTCCGCAGCTGATGAGGCGAGTGGATTTACCGTACATATAGTTCTTGAGCCACAGGGGGTTTGAGTTTTTTTTTAATAACCTGACTCTATCCTAGGTTCATCTTTCCAGGTTAGGAGCTCGGTTAAGCTAAAAAGGATTATGCAAACTATACTTTCATTGGGCAACGCTTTGAACCATGGGACAGCAAGGGGTGAGTTCCTCTCATCTAACATTGTTTTGCTTTTTAAATTGCAAGCAAGTATTTGTCTTGGATGTATACGTTGATTCTGTTCTATACTCATCCGCTCGCTGAAACATCATTCTGATAGAACCCACCCATTAATAATGGGCCCAACAAAGCCCCAAAAGCTAGCTTGTGGGGGAGGGTGCCCATGGTATTTATATTAACTCAATTGTTCCCATATATTTCCGATGTGGGGGACTCTAACAATACCGCCCCCCCCTTTTAGAGAGGGACGACCACGACGCTGGCGGCGGTTGGCTCTGATACCAATTGATAGAATCCACCCATTAATAATGGGTCCAACAAAGTCTCAAAGAGACATGGGTAAAACTCATCCCAAAAGCTAGTTTGTTGGGGGAGGGTGCCCATGATATTATATTGACTCAATTGTTTCCACATATTTCCGATGTGGGACTCTAACACATTCATATTTGTCTTTTGTTTTCACAGGCTCTGCTCTTGGATTTCGATTGGATAGTCTTCTGAAACTCACTGATACAAGAGCTCGGAACAATAAGATGACTCTGATGCACTATCTCTGTAAGGTAGGGCTTCTCTCTATATCGTGTCCCATCCTTGTACCCATCCACGATCTTATATGACAAAAGGCTACCACTTTCTTGCCACCATTAAGTCAGGCTTGAACTTTTTCAGGTACTTGCAGAAAAACTTCCAGAGCTACTTGATTTTCCGAAAGATCTGGTGAGCTTGGAGGCTGCATCAAAGGTGATTTTACTCTTTATTGTTTCTCTATGTTATAACATGAGCACACAGTTTTCTGTGTGTATGTGGTGTTCGTTCTCTAACAACAGTCATGATCTCAGAGCCAACTAAAGTATCTGGCAGAGGAGATGCAAGCAATTAGCAAAGGAATGGAGAAACTTGTACAAGAGTTTACTGCATCTGAAAATGATGGTCTGATATCAGAGCAGTTTTGTAAGGTAACGAAAGTAGAGAAACTTAGTGTCTTTTGTCTTTATTTTTTCTTGTTTCAACTCTTGCTTACTGTTATAATTGTTCTTGCATTGTCAGAACTTGAAGGAATTTCTTGGTTTTGCCGAAGGAGAAGTGAGGTCTCTGGCTTCTCTCTATTCGACTGTGGTATGATCCTTTAGCTCCTAACATTCTCATGTTTTCATTAGCTTCTCTGAATCACAATACTTTCAAGATTTAGACTGCTTATCCCTACAAACATTGTGCTTCTAAATTCTAATGGATCTTTTAGGGTAGAAGTGCTGATGCTTTGGCTCTTTACTTTGGAGAAGATCCAGCCCGTGTGCCTTTCGAGCAAGGTACGTTCTCTTAGTATATTGAGCAAGCAATTCGAGGGGGGAAAACCCCGTTTCTTTTTCCTCTTATTTCCTATCTTTGATCCAATCTCTCTATGCCAGTTTTTGGAGATTGTTCTCATCTGTCTCTGAAGTAAACCAACCTGATCTTGTGAAACCAAACCCTCTTCTTATTTTTGAATCTGCAGTTGTATCCACCTTGCTGAACTTTGTCAAAATATTTGTACGGTCGCACGAGGAAAACTGTAAGCAACTTGAGTTTGAGAAGAAGAAAGCATTGAAGGAAGCAGAGAGCGAGAGACTGAAAATAAGTGGCATTAAGGAGTAAGAAACTGAGGGTTGAAACATGAGGCCACACCACACACACACACATAGGAGAAGACACCAAAGTCCCTGTGTTCTCCTCTCTTACCCTCCTTGACTTTCCTTAGACCCCAAGCAAGCCAAAGCTACCACAGGATGCGCAAACCAGAGAGGAGGTTATAATCTTGAAAGGACAGAACATCCTGCGGATTCTTATCAGATATTTTCACCTCATCTTTGCCAGAAACTCGGAGAATTTTGTTGAGATCGTTCTCTGACAAGACATTGTTCGGATTTAGGTTAGGAAGAAAATGGAGGAACCCATTTTTCTGGTAGACAGAGACGAAAACTGGCGTTAAGCTATGAAGGAGAAGCTTATGAAGATTTGAAGATTCAGATTTTGTTTGATTGAAGCAGATTCACAGAAAGGCTCCCCTGTTTATTTGCTGAAACATGTTGCTTCTTGTATATTGTTGTTGGGAGTGGAAGGGGATGAATATATGTATATATCATCTAACAACATTGGAAGTTTTTGCTTCAAGTTAAAAAAAAAAAATATCTTTTGTTGAAGAAAAGGTTCCTTAGCCTCTTTCTAAATTTAATTGGTGTACGGACTGTAACTTACCATTTACAGCACATATACCATAAAAGGTTGAAATGGATTGGATCGCTCACTTTGAAATCTCTAGTACCATTCATATATGTTTGGAGAAACTAATTCATGAAGACCCTTTTGAACACTTACGATTTCTAGTTTTTATGTACACTAAAGCTGCCATCTTTTCTCCTAAATGGGGGGGGGGGGGGGTCT